ATGCAGTATTCAAGGTGTGGGCATATCATGGATTTATATAGTGGCGTTATGACATTTTCATGAGATGCAGCGTGGGGAGGTGTGTATATGGGGGGGGAGCGGGGCACAAATGGATCTTTAACAGGGTCCATATGTCACCCGTCTTGATTTAACATCTGGTTTCCGTGACTGCTTTACACATTTCTGTGTAAACCTAGACTGAGCCTGGAGCTATGAAACCTCGACAGATTCTGTGGGGATTTTATTACCACAAGTATCCTTAATTAAAAAGCCAACATCAGTCTAGCAGACCTATGAGACTGCATATTTCCACAGAGCCAGGCATGAGCAGTTAGGGAACCAAACACCCAGCTTGCATGGAGAAAGATCGAAGGTCAAGATCACAGGACAAATCCCATTTGTGGCCAGCCTCAGACCAGCACACCCAGGGCAATGCCATGAGGACAAAGTGTTTCATCACCTCTCCATCCAAGGCTTGGCCTCCACAGGGAGCAGGAAACATCCCCAGGAAGGCTGTACTGTACTGTGATTTTAGTACTTGCTCTTGTGTCCCCTGAGTGTGGTAAGAAAGAGGGAGGGTGTCCTTGTGGTGAAGGCTCTGGGCTGAGATTCCAGAAACCTGTGTCTGGCTCTGCCACAGACTACCTGTGTGACCTTGAGCAAGTCATTTAGCCTGTCTCTGCCTCAGTTCCCCACCCATAAATCAGGGATAGTAACCCTTCTGTTCTCCCACCTTGGTCTGTCTGGTCTATGTAGATCCCAGCATCTAGCACAGGGGGGTCCTGATCTTCGCTGGGCCTTCTAGGTGCTACTTTAATATACACAAATAATAATTATTAATTCTGAATTAAGATATGTCTGCGTGCCCAACCCACTGCCCATCTCTGATTTACATATCAGAGAGCAGTTCTAATGTCTCCCACTCTCTCTCTCTCTCTGTGCCACCCAGTCAAACACTCCTGAGCTCATTAGACTCAAGTGCAATAAGTTCCCATGAAGGCAGCTCATCCTCACTCGGTGTGGAGCTACATAGAGGTCTCCAGCATGCAGCACTGGCAGGGAATTAACTGCCAAGGATCAGTCCATGCAGCTTGTGAGTGCTGGGGCCAGCCAGGGGCGGAAGATCAAACCAAGTGGGCGTGTGTACATAGATCACAGGAGTTAGTGATGGCAAAGACCTTCCTGGTCCCCCAGTCCATCTCTCACCCACCTGCCAGCTGCCTGTGCATGATGCTTGCTGAGAGCTTTGGCCAGTCTAGCTTCAAATGACTGCAAGCGGCGCGGCTCCCACTGCTTCCCACAGGGGAGACTGTTCTGTGCGCTAACAGAGCTCACCGTTACGGCCATTCTTCCTGATCGGTTTTTTTTCCTCAACACTCCTCCTAAACGCTCCTTGCTTTCATCCCCTCACGCTTGGGCCAGCCTGGCTGCAGCACACAGAATAAGAAGTGCAATATGTAATGGCAGGCAGGGTCTGTCTGGGTGATAATTGCATGCCTTGGGTGCTGTGATGGAGCACGAGGCCCAGGCTGAGAGGCTCAAACCACCTGACAAGAGCAATAATTGCTCCGAAATGCACTGCCTGGCGTGACTTATTGCAGTTATTAAATGAAATATTGCCATGAAGGCCAGAAAACAAGGCAGAGCTGGACTCAGCCTTCCAGAGCCGGAGGTGCGTACAACATCACTGACAGCCACTCAGAGAGGCTGATCCCCTCCCAGTGGCCTCACGACATTTCTTAATTGAAGTTGTAACTATTTAAAACGAGAGGGCCCGATTCTGATCTCAGCTGCCCCAGTGTAAATCCAGAGTAACTCCACAAGGTCAGTAGAGTAAGGGCCCAATTCTGATCTCAGCTACTCCAGTGTAAATCCAGAGTAACTCCACAAGGTCAGTAGAGTAAGGGCCCAATACTGATCTCAGCTGCCCCAGTGTAAATCCAGAGTAACTCCACAAGGTCAGTAGAGTAAGGGCTCGATTCTGATCTCAGCTACTCCAGTGTAAATCCTAAGCAGCTCCCATGACTTCAAGGGAGTTACTCCCAATTTACCAGCATAACTGAGATCAGAAATTGGGCCTAGCATTTCTTCTTCTGTGGTTGAAGAGCTAGTGGGGCTGGGTAAGGACAGGGCTTACTGGGGGAAATAAGGGGTTTGGCTAAAGCATGCCGCACCCTAGCAGTTCTGGACTGCTGCCAGAGCCTGTAGAGGGACTGTTGTAGCAGGGTGCAGGTTAGCTCAATCCCTGGGGCTGCTCTAGTTTGTGCCTGGGACCATGCTGGTTCCCAGAAGGCAACAGAATCTGGGAGGCACAAGTGTGGACTAAAACCACCTCCTTTGCTCCTGTGTTGAGATCAGCTCGGCTGGAATGGAGAATCTGGCGGCACGGGCACAGGCAGATCCACTCCCTGCCCTGAAGAGCTCAGTTCCCAGGGACTGACGGCTACGTAACGAAACCCATCAGCACAAGGGATGCCCAGAGGGACTCTCGTTGCAGTCCCAGCAAGGAAGCCAAGGCCTGAAAGGGCCATGCGGATGGAATGCCATTTTCACCCGGAGAGGGGTCGCTGTAGACACACTGAGAGGGGCATATGGGGGAAGCTTGCCCTGCGGCTCCCCATGCCCATGTAAGGTATCTCAAACTGGGCCCCCCTAAAATGGAGACACTCTAAGTCACTGGGCACATTTGAAAATCCTGACCTTCATCTCCGGGGCTGCCAATCCAGCACCAGATTCACTGTATCTATATCCAGACTGATACTGAACCATCTAATAGTGTCCCTGGGAATTCACAGCGTAGACTAGCTGGCTGCTTTCTCTCCCCACTACAGCTTTATGGCCAGCTATAAAGACCTTAGCAGATCCCTATAATATTCCTCTTAACTTCCGGCTTTCACTCACATGAAAGGAAATGGAAGGTGTTTAATGGGCTTTTCATTTTTCAAACCACAAATTTCTGCAAAATCCTGAACTCAAGCGCTCCCCAGTAATGGAAGCAGGGGGACAAACAGGGGCTTTGATGGGGAAATGCTCATCTGTAACTGATCATAAAATGCGGTTAACGGCCTATAACCTTCAACATGCTGTTTAATGCAACAGAATACTGCCTGAGTTTGAGCGCTGGAGCTGGGGTGAAGTGGCTGATGCCTGTAATTAGGCCTTTGAGTAATAAATCATCAAACAATAATAATAATAATAATAATACAGCAATATCTATACATGAAATCACCCTGCCTGGCAACCTCCTGCCTTGAAAGACCCTTCCACACTCTCACACACTGCTGGAAAACCAGCTTCAGTAAGAAACCACGTTTGGCTCTTAAGACGGGTTTTCCTCCCACGCGCCTCACATCCACCCTGTGAGGCAGGGCAGAGTTAGTAATCCTGGGTCACACAGGGAGGAAATTTAGCACACAGAGGCAAAGTGACTTGCCCAAAGTCACACACTAATCACTGGCAGGGTGAAGTTGTGATTCTAACCATTCCACACCACTTCTTGCTCTGGGCCCATTAACGCTCCCTGTTCTTTGTCTGCCCGTCTATCTGGGTTCTCATTTGGCTCCATCACGGCGGTACTGACTGTGTTAACCTTGATTCTTCCCGTTACGGTGTGAAATATTCTCCCTTTACAGCTGCTGCTTTGGCTTCCAAGTGATGGCCCTTCTGAATAAATGTTTCATCTATTTGGCTTCTCCTTCAGGACAAACTGAGCATGTCAGGATACTCATGACTAGTGGAGTAGGGGACTAGGGGTTAGGACTGAGTTCAAGTCTTGGCACTGCCGTTCACCTGCTGGGTGACCTTGGGCAAGGCCCGTCAACTGTCTGTGCCTCAGTTTCCCCATTTGTAAACTGGAGATGATGATCCCTCCCTGATAAGGGGTTGTGAGGCTCAACTAACTCATGTCTATACAGCTCTTTGAGATCATTGGATAGAAGATACTGCAGAAGTGCTCTGGATTATAACACTAGGGTAATAACTTGACATTGTGGTGAAATGGGAGGGGCTGGGAGATGTGGTAGGTTAGGACTGGAACCACAGGGGCGGCTGCATGAGAGCTGAAGAGACCCGACAGAGCAGTGGACGGCAGCCCAGCATTGCTACAGCAAGGGGCGCCGCAATCGGGATTGAAGTGCAGTGGCAGAGTCGCGTGCAGCACCCAGCACTGCAATGCCAAGGGGAGCAGAAGGACGGGATTGACGCACTGGAATTAGCTCTGCGTGATGCCCCAGGACTCTAAAAGCAGCGGATCTAGTCATAAAACCTAGCTTTGATGTAGCTCTTTTCATTGCTAGATCTCCAAGCACCTCACCACCTTTAAAGGATTCCACCTCACACCCCGCAGGGGAGCAGGGAGGTGCTAGTAGCCCCCTGTTACAGAGGGAGAACTGAAGCAGAGAGGGTGGGCTTCACAAAGGGAGTCAGGGGCCATTGAAATGAATGGGAGATAGGAGCCTAACTACTTTTGGGAATCTGGGCCTAAGTGACTTGCCCTGGGCCACACAGGCAGCCTCTGGCAGAACAGAGAACTGAACCCGGGTCTCTTAAGTCTTAGGCTACGGTCCTAATGACTGGACTGAGGTGCATCGGCAGGGCTGTGCGGGAAGCCCAGAGCTGGACTGGCAGGGGGGGCTTCAGCCCCGGATCAAAGTGCAATAGCAGTTGTGCGAGGACAGCCTGAGCAGCTTCCTCCCAGGCGTTAGCCAGCACTTCCCTCACGTCCCCACGATCTCCAGCCAGGCCACGGGAGCTGTGAAGCGTGGCTCCCACTCCTGGGAATGAGGGTGAGGAGCGCGCTGTGGTGTCGGTGGGGGGCCCATCTGCAGTGGTATGTGTGTGGCTGATCTGAGGGCAGCTTGTTCCCTGCAGTAAACAGGGATGGAAACTAGGAATTTGTCACCTTCCTTCAGGGTTCCCACCAGGCCAATACTGTGGGGCTCCTTCTCCTCACCCCCCGCCCCCCACACCCTGCAAAGGGCCCGCCCGCGGGACTCCCTCACCGAGGTGTTCTGGCACTGCACGCTGGAGCTGTTAAACCTCAGGGCGGGGACCCGCTGCTCGTTGCCCTGGATAGTCAGGATACACTCATAGCCCCGCTGCCCCGACTGAGGCTGTGGCAGGTTCTTGGCTTTCAGGGTGATTGGCTTGATCACTTCCACTGGCACCAGGATCTTGTCTGCCTGGAGCAACTGAGGACAGTCCTGGGGGGAGAGAAGAAAACATGCCAAGCCAGTTAGTAGGAGTTCCTTGCCCCACCCTGAGTCCTCCTGTGCTCTACATATACCTCCCAATACCCCCTCACTTTCCCCACCCCCCCCCACACACACACTGCAGGCTTGGCCTATGAGACCTGGAAGAAGCTCCCTATGGAACGCCTCGGTGCCTGTGCCTTAATCAGCTGGTGGGAAGCTTCTATAAAGAGTCCCTCTCCGCTTGGACTCAGCATTGCTCCATTGCCAAGGCACTGAATGAGAAAGGCTGGGTGTAGGCACAAAGCACCACCACCCTCACTAGCCAACGAACACGCAGTAGAAAAGCTGGTTCCAGCTAGACATGGGATCACGCCACAAAATGTAAGTGCCTTAAATTTGGAGGTGTTGCGATCGGGGGTTCAGGCTTCACCTACCACAAGGGGAGGGACGAATAATGGACGAATCAAAACCCTGGATCCAAATATCCTGAAATGTTGGGAAAGATCAGCGCTGGAAGGGAATCTGATGGCTCAGGCCCATCTAGGAGGCTCTGTAGACCAGCCCCCAACAGATGGGCTGCCCCTGCCTTTCAGAGGGGGAAGGAATATAAGCCTCGTCGATTCTTTGGGGGCATTGGGAAGGCAGTTTGGATCAAAGGGGCTCTATGAGCATAAGTCCTGCTCTACACACACACAAGGAATTAACGGCATGCAATTAAACTGATTTAGCTAACCCAGCGCAACTCTGCAGGTGGGCACTTTACCTGAGTTTAACCCTTAGCCATCGCCAGCTAAAACAAAGCGAGCCAGGTTTAACAGCCATGCGGAGTGTCCCCATACAAAGTTAGACCAGTTACCTACAGCTGTTTAACGTCACACTTTTAGTTAACAACTTCTGTATGCAGACAAGGCCTGAGAGATTATCATCAGGGATCTCTCACTGCACTGCCCCCAATCCTTCACACCGCCTGCCCTCTGCCAGGGTCAGAGCACCATAGGGCAGAGTCTGCTACATCAAACACACCGTGCAATCTGTTTCACTTTGTCTTGCTTGTTCACAGAAAAAGCACCCGAGAATACAATCTTTATAATCTATACGGGCAAATGCAGGTGAACCATGTATGTCCCTAGGCTATTGTGTAGGTGGCATGTAGGGGCGCAGGAGGGGGAGGTTTAGAATGACTGATGTAGGAGTGGGGAGGAAACTGGAAGGCATGACAGTGGGATTTATGGCTTGAGAGAGTCTGGGAACTTGTTCCTGAGGTGCCGGGAGTATCTTACAGAGGCAAATATCTAAGGAAGATGGAGAAATGGATTCGACATGTAACATCGGCACCTATATCAGCTAGGAATAGAACGACGAGGGACATCAGTGGTCACACTGCAGTATGAGCTGATTCTCTACTGGGGTCAGGAAGATATCCCAGCCACACCCACCACATGGGATAAATTAGAAGCGTTAAGGTGTGGGGGGGTTCACCCCTGCCCCTGAAGCATCGGCAGTTGGCCATTGTCTGAGTGGGGACACTGGACCGGATAGTCCATTGATCTGTCCTGACATTGCCACCTGTATGCACCTACATCTACGCTATGTTACTAAGAGCCTCAGAAAAGCTGCTGCCAAGAGATGAAGTGATGCGTGTCTGCCAGGGACTCCCCAGATAGCCAATACAGCTGAGGAGAGGCTGGACGTGACCATCAGGGGAGCGGCCTCCCTCAGAGGAGCTCCTACTGAGCCACAGCCCGGGTCAGAAGTTGCCTGCCCCTAGCAGAACCTGCTCTCCCCCCAGACAAGTCCCCTTCCACCTTTGTGGAGTTGCCCCAAGGGATACAGGGGTGAATCCATTCAGGGAAAGCAATGGCACTGCTAAGAGTAATGGATTCTCGATGCGGGAACAGCCACTCTGCCTTCAACGAGGCTTTGCCAAGGCTGAGTTCCATACAGGCTTGAATGGACCTAGCACCATGGCAGGGCTGGGACAACTTCCCCTAGCCATCCCTGACAGGAATGCATCCAGCCCAGCCTTGAACAAAAGGCCAATCTGGCAGCACTAAGGGGCTATACTGTTGCCTGTGCCAACTGGAGGAGGATTTCTCAGCATTACGGCTCCACGCCACCCTCACCGGAGCCTCCAAAGCAGATAGCACCTCACCTCAGGCCTGGCCCAAGGGTTAAACTGCTACTCAGTGGGAGTGAGGCAGAAGCCAGCCCAATGTTATAGAGATCAACAGAAAGGCAGATGGTTGTGGGGGCAGGTGGAATGGAAACGGGGAGGCTCCCAGAGTGAGTGGGCCCCAGTCATGGCTCAATTTTGCAGAGACTCGGGGATGAAGATACCTGTTCGTTTGGATCCACGTGGGGTTCACTACAGTTACAAATCCAAAATCTCAAACGGAAATGCCACCAGAATCCATGAGGGCCACCATGTTTCTGGTGAGCATCATTCAGCCCTGTACAGTTCTCATGGTCTCAATGCAAATTCCCTCAGCAGGCCCCAGGTTTGCTCGAAAGCAGGTGCCCACTCAGCGATCGCATCAGTGAACACGGTGTCCGAGTTTAAACTCTGTAAGGGAGCCAGGCACCGGGCGCGCGCTGCATCACTTCCAATTTGATTGCTAGCCATGCTGCTTGGCTTTCATTGCACAGGGTGCCTGCTTCCAAAGGCGACTGAAAGCCCCGGTTTTCTCCCTGCCTCAGTAGGGGCTCGGCACTCCAGCCAGGGTCACCTGTGGCGAAGCTTCCCATAGAACACATCCCAAACTCACCCCCCACTCCTGCACCGCCCAGAAACCCACCCAAGTGACGGCTTCTGCCTCCAGGTACAGGGCCGCAAGTGGGGACACATTTACACAGCAAAACCTTGGGGCAGAAAGGTGGGCAAACCCTATCTGCCACTGGGGCGGGGCATTCTCTTGACATACATCAAATATAAAGGCCTAAGAACCAGGTGGGAGGCTGAGGGGGGGAAGATATTACCTGGGAGTCACTCCAAGCCCCAAAGACTGAATTTTCTTGTTTCCCTTTATCCCTGTCCCCACCCTCCCGCCGCCACTGCCAACCGCTCCCCACGAGCACCGTAACCTTTCTGATAACACTTGTTTCGAGTTCATTAACAAGCGGTGGTTGCGGCAGCCCCAATAAAGGGCTCGTTTGCATATAAAAAGGTTTGCGGCTCTGTTAGGAAGTTCATTATAGATAATTGGAGAGGCGAGCGCCATAAAGAGGAAATTCTCACAATGTGGCTTTATCTGATTGACCTAATGTTCTTTCTAATTGAAATTTAAAAAGGCAATTTCTTTGGATGATGTACAGTACAAAGCCAGGGCGCTCAGTCCTGGCCCCGGGTTCGAATCTGCCTCCAACACTTACTTTGTACAAAGTGTCAGGAGGAACTAGCTAAATAACCCTGATCCCGAAGATACTCTGCGGTAATTAGCTATGGGTGTTTGCTCAGGACTGTACCTTTAAAGGTAAGAAGTCTGCCTGCTAGCGGCAGGGGGATTCAAGAGAGTGAGACGCACGCTGTCATGGACACAACATTTGTTCTTCCTTTGTTGTTTTCCTTAATCTGAAATACATGTCACCTTGGCTGGAAAAGCACCTCTTGCCCTGTGTGTACGGAAACCATAACAGAACCACCCTGAATGACTGAAGCATGTAAGGGCCTGATCCCACGACCGCTGATTAGTAATTAATGGGAGTCTTTCTGCTGTCTCCAATGGGAGTTGGATCAGATTCCAAGGGAACAAAACAACTAATCTCATTTATACAAGGCACGCATTACAGAGTAGATCCTTGTTAATTTATTTAACTTGTGTAGTTTAATTCTATAATTTCGTGTAACTCTTTATATTAAGCTAATAAGCACACACTCAAAGCTCGTAATTCGCCCTGTTGGCACAGACTCCCACTGCAAATGGCTGAATTTTGCCAGTTAGCAGGTCAGTGAACAGAGAATAAAACAACCAAGGATGCTATAGCATGAAATAGACTCCTCATTTTGTCAATGGTTGTTTAGTTTTCACTATTTATAAATCCTTGTAGTATGCTCTATAGCTTCAAAAATAACAAAGTCTTATATAAGAACAGCCATATTGGGTCAGACCAATAGTCCCTCCAGCCCAGTATCCTGTCTTCCGACAGTGGCCAGTGCCAGATGCTTCAGAGGGAATGAACAGAACGGCAATTTCAAGTGATCCATCCCCGAACGTCCAGTCCCAGCTTCTGGCAGTCAGAGGTTTAGGGACACCTACAGCATGGGGTTGCATTTCTGACCATCTTGGCTAATAGCCATTGATGGACAGATCCTCCTGGAACGTCTCTAATTCTTTTTTGATCCCTGTTATACTTTTGGCCTTCATATCTCCTGACAACAAGTTCCACAGGTTGACTGTTCGTTGTGTGAAGAAGTACTTCCTTAAGTTTGTTTTAAACCTGCTGCCTATTAATTAATTTCACCAGATGATTCGCAGTTTGTGTGTTCCAGATGATTCGCAGTTTGTGTGTTATGTGAAGGGATAAATAACACTTCCCTATTCACTTTCTTCACACCTTTCATGATTTTATAGACCTCTATCATATCCCCCCCCATAGTCATCTCTTTTCTAAACTGAACAGTCCCAGCCTTTTTAATCTCTCCTCATATGGAAGCTGCTCCATTTCATGCTCCTAATCATTTTTGTTGCTCTTATCTGCACCTTTTCCAATTCTAATATATCCTTTTTTGAGATGGGGCGACCAGACCTGCACACAGTATTCAAGATGTGGGCATGCCATGGATTTATACAGTGCCATTATGATATTTTCTGTTTTATTGTCTATCCTTTTCCTAATGGTTCCCAACATTCTGTTAGCATTTCTGACTGCCACTGCACATTGAGTAGATGTTTTCAGAGAACTCTCCACAAGGACTCCAAGAGCTCTTTCTTGAGTGGTAACAGCTCATTTGCCCCTAATTTTATATGTCTAGTTGGGATTTTTTTTTCCAACATGCATTACTTTGCATTTAT